TCATGTATTTCTTAAGCAGGTTGTCTTTTACTTAGTTACCTTATTTTATTTTTATTTTATTTTATTTTATTTATTTTATTATTTTAGAGTATGTTTATTAAAGTTGGGGACAGTGAAACAAGAAAGGGCTTAGGACAGAAGAAGCAAGAGGAAAGAGCCTAGGTGGGCCTGCTTTGGCTCTCTGGGAAGTCAGATAAAAGGGAGTTCTTGGGGACAGGCTCAAGGTGTTAGGCCAGGAGGAGCTGCTGCTGCCCATTGCTCTCCTGGTTGCAAGTCTCATGGGGACCCTTACAGTTTGAGAGATGCATGCCTGTGGGTAAAGAACATGGGAAAGGGAAAGGCATGGGCATGCTTCCGGGAGGGAGAGCAAGCCCCGGGTCCTCTTTCTTGTGGGTTTTTAAGTCCTGGGGTTTAGGGAAGGTATTAAGGGAGGATCTCAATAGAATATACATCAGCTTTATGTTGATGTGCCAAAATGAGATTTATTGCCTTAACTGCATCTGTCTTTGAGTGTGGTTGGCATAAATGGTACTAACTGGATTTCTGCTATCTATCTCCCTGCGTAGGATTAAAACCAAAGTACGGGGTTTTTGAGTCCGAGTTCGTTGTCTCACGAAATCTGAGACTAAAGTCGTGTTAGTGGAACTGAAGTTTATTGAAAGGAGCCAGTCTTGGAGAAGGTGCAGCTGGAGTTCCTGGAGCTGCCCAGTATCCAGGGCTTCCTTTCCATGTTATAGTCAGGAGTAGTTCAGCATCCAAGCTAATTAAAGTCTAATAGTCCATGTGTGGAGGCCCCCATGGTCATAAGCCAGGTGGGCACAGGGGAGCACATCTCCTGCCATCAACCCAAGAACCTAGCACACCAGAGAGAGAGAGAAGAGGAAGCATACGTGCTTTTTTATATATATGCCTCTTATTTCCTGATTAGTTCTTTCAAAGAATTTTGCCTTCACAAATTCCTTGGGATTGGTTTATATGCCTTACTACCTTGTGACTGGTTATCTGCAAGCTGCCTGTCAGCAACATAAAACATTTTAAAGCTCATGTCTCCCTGGTGCACCTTTCCTTCCCTGCCCAGTTGGGGTGCCTTAGTAACTTCACCTACTTGGATTTTCAGTTTTATTTCCTCCTCCCCCGCCCCCCTCCCCCCATGGTCCCTGTCCCTGTCTACCTAGCTTCCCTCTGTCTCCTTGGGATGATTTAAGCTATTTATACTCTGGTTGGGGAGGAGAGGTGTAAACCATTTACTCTTAAGTATCCTTGTTAGGAAGATAGGATTTTTCTATTTACTAGAAGCCTGTAAACTACTTGGGTGTTTAACTATCATTCTCAGTTTCCCTAACATACTTGCCCTGGCTTACTAGCATGTCTTTTTTCCCCCTCAGAAAATTCCATCTCTGAAATCGTTTAGGGAAATATCTTAGGGCTGATGAGGAAGGACAGTATGTCTTCATTAACTGCTTCCCGTTGACAGGGGCTGTGGTTCCTGCCTATACAGGATGTGGAAGTCTCTCTCTGCATGATCTAAGGGGGGCAATGGAATGGGATCCAAGACTGGAACAGAGAGGTTATTAGCTGATTCTTCCAAAGTAGGAATGGATGGGAATCCCCAAAGCATCATCCCCTTGATATGGAATTGTTGTATCATTCCAGAAGCAAAGTTGGTAGATTGCTTCATATTTTGTTGACTCAATTATGTAGTCCTGAAAATAAGTTGATTCAGTTAAATTGCCGAGTGTCATTTCAGGAAGTGGTGATGCAGATGGGCTCCCAAAGTGAGACCTATATTGTATGAACAAGAAATCAGGTATTTAATAAGGGGCATGCCTATGAAACAGAAGATAAAAACAAAGTTTAATGGTCACATAAATTTTAAACCAGTTTCTGAGTCTGTAAGACTGTCAGCTGAGAAGATTTTTAGATGAAAGAATCAAATTTTCTTTTCTTAGAATGAAAGTAAGCAGTGGACAGTCTGATAAATCCTTCTTTTCTGCAGTTTGAATATCTCTGGTGATATAAATTCTGCACAGTGTACACAGGATCAGTCACTAAGATTGTTTAAGTATAAGCTGTTGTGATGATTTCTCAAGGTTTTATCAAGTCCTTTAGTTGTAATTTGCAAGTGCAAAGCTCAGAAAAAATGTTTAGTTCTCAATAATTCCAAGTCAAAGGATGGGAGAAAACTGAAACATTAGTTAGAAGAAATAAGTGGTCAATAATGCCATCTAAACAAAGTCCAGAAATAATAAGACAGGCTGAAAGTGTTCATTCAGCTAATCAGTTCTTTGGTAATTTCTGTATCTGAGAATGCTAGGGAACCTCTCTAGAGTAAGGACTAGACTCAGTGGGCCAAAGGATTACTGGCACTGAATGGGATATGAGCAAATAAAGACAGTGAGTATAGAATATTTTGAAAGAAATTCTAGCTAAGATTGAAGAATTAAGGACTTTTTATTTTTTTAAAGTATTTTATAGATTTTTAGAGAGAGAGGGAGAAGAGAGAAACATCAATGAGAGAGCATAACGTCAATCAGCTGCCTCCTGCATGTTCCTCACCAGAAATCGAGTCCACAATCCGGGTGCATGTGCCAGCAACCCTTCAGTGCATGGGGCGATGTCAAACCAACTAAACCACACTAGCCAGGGCAGAATTAAAGACTTTTTAAATGATAGCTGCCTTTATTTCATATACAAATTCAGTGGAAGGAACAAACTATACTGGGCAAAATAGAAAAGATAAAAGAAAAAGGAGAAAATTGGTAGAGGATTTATTCATTAATTTACTTATTTATTCATTCAACAAATACTTATGGAAAACTTATAAATGCCAGGAACAACCTCAGATGCTAGGGATATGGCAGTGAATAAAACAAAAATTCCTGTTACTGGGCAAAATAGAAAAGATTAAAGAAAAAGAAGAAAATTGGTAGAGGGTTTATTCGTTAATTTACTTATTATTCATTCAACAAATACTCATGGAAAACTTATAAATGCCAGGAACAACCTCAGGTGCTAGGGATATGGCAGTGAATAAAACAAAAATTCCTGTCCTAAATTTGTGTGTTTGGGTGGGGGGTTGGGGTTGAAAGGGCAGACAAATAACTAAGAAGACATATTAGATGCTTCTGCTGACCCTTCTCACATCCTATCAGCCCACCTCTAATTCCCACTGTGTGTCTTTCTCTTTCTGCCCCAGGGCTTCTCTGACAGCAGGCAAAAGGGCAAGCAAGAGTCACAACTGGGAGTGTGGGAGATTTAACATCCCTGTGGGCATCCACTGAGTAATGGAATGAATAAGTACTTTTCCTGGTACAAACCTCAGTGGAGAGTTTTGGCAGTCACTGTCCATTATTCTTAGATTTTCTCTCAGTGTAACTTCAATGACACATCCTTTTATTGATTTTTCCTCCTTCCTCTCAATTCTTAGTTCTTCACTCCTACTCTCCACCTGCAGATAAGAGCTTACCTCAGATTCTGTTTTGGGAGGTTGGGGGGAACTTGTGTGTATTTCCAGATAGTGATAAGCACTAAATAGAAAGGCTAAAGCAATAAAAGGATATGTGTGTGTATATGTGTGTGTGTGTGTGTGTGTGAGAGGAAAAGGATATGTGTGTGTGTATATGTGTGTGTGTGTGTGTGTGTGTGAGAGAGAGAGAGAGAGAGAGAGAGAGAGAGAGAGAGAGAGAGAAGAACAAGCACATTTGCGGAGTGCTTTGCATTTATTAACTCATTTAATCTTCTCAACCTCTGAGATGAGAAAACTGAATTACAAAGAAGTTACATAGCTCACCTAATATCACCCTTATGGTCAGGTTTGAGTTACTGTTGGAATCCATACTGTTTGTTTGGCTCCAGAGTTCAGCTCTTTATACTTTGTTTAGGGCTCAGTTTCAGCCACCTACACAGTGAGGCCTTTTAAAATTATTCTTCCTACCTAACAAAGCTTTGTTCTCATTAGCCACCTCTCAAACCCCTAAGCAATCTCCTTCTTAGCATTAAGAGGAATAAGCTAATGAGTTCAGAGGAATAACCTTTTGGTGGCCTAAGTACATAAAAGAATAGTATTTATTTATGCTAACTGCATGTGTTCAAATCACCTAACACAAGCCCAAAAAGATGTAAGCCTTTTTAACACTTAACTGAGAAGTTCCCTGGCATCCTTTATTGCAGTGAGATAAGCCCAACTTGGTAGGCTGCAGTAGAACACTTAACAGTGTTTTCATCCCAACTGAGCTCCCACAGTCCCCCATGGCTGGAAACTAGCCTAACATTATCAGCTCATCACGGATGTTGTTAGGAGTTGGCCTGGCACTTTCAGCCAGGACCGGTGTTCCCCAGTTGAACGTACGTACACATTTTCACAGAACACCAACAGCAGACAGGGCTGCTCTGAGACCCCGATGAGTCAAGAGGAAAGCAAGACCTTCCTGTAATTATGCCCAAACACGGACAAGAACACAAACATTGTCCAAACCATAAAAGATGACCAAGTCACATATCCTACCTACATGAATGATGGCTACTTGTTTCCAACCACTGCTTTATCCCCACTCTGTTCTTCCCTCCTTCTAACTAAGATTTATAAAGATACCCAATTACAGAATTATCTCTGCTTTTTGATAGCATCCAGTGCAGAGCAAAGCCCCACTTTCTTGAAACCTATATCAAATTACCTAACACTAGTCCAAAAGATGTAAGTTCTTTCAATACTTACTGAGCAATTCCATGGCATCCTTTTTGTGGTGAGCAGTAAACCCAACTTAATCAACTGCAGGTGTGTTCCTAATGGTCTTTGGCTGAAAGACATTAACACACTCTTATTGTCTGTTCTACACATTTAAAACTTATCTATGAAATTTCTTTAATGCATCTTATTTCTCAGTTATATTGCTTCTTATGGGTACTGAAGTTTTCTCTCTGAAAACATATGTTTGTGTTCTATTTAATTAACTGATGACTTTTATAATTTACCAAGGTTCACATTTTTTTTCCTTCTTTAGGAACCAACTACTATTTCAGCAATGGAGCTTTCCACTAAGCAGGTAATATCATTTTATATTAAAATCAGTATTCTACATTGTTTTAATTTTGTGTTTCAAATATATTGATGATCCATAAAATTGACAATTGTTCAAAGAAAGAGAAAAGAATTTTTTTACAAAAAGCTAGTAGAATAAAATCTAAAGATATTTTCATTGCCCTCACGTTTTGGCCAATCTCATATATGTCCTATAAATATACTTGTTAGGTTATTACTTGTTGTAAATTTTCATTTATAGCATTTCTGGTTATTATGATATAATTTACTATATAATTATATTCATCTATCTATCTTTCCTTTAAAAATAACAGCGGTGGATATTTCAGAATATAAATTTAGAATTTAATTCATCTGTATATATAAACAAAGTACATTTTATAGGCTTAAAAGTATGCACTAGACTATATATGTTTGGAGATCTTGACTTTAAAGGTAACTTACTTTTTCAGTGGCATTATAGTCTAGAGAAAACATTTAGTTTGGCTAACTATGAAGGAATAATGGCAAAACAGTCACTGCCAAATGATGTTATTAAACTCCATGAGTTCATAGGTTATGGACAGCATGTTAACAGACTTTCCAGTCACACTGAATGAATGTTTGGCAAGACACTTGAACACAAATGACTTCTAAATGCTAAATGACATGTACAAAACAAATATAATTTTAAATGCTAACCAAATGCCTTTTCCCCATAAATGTTATCTAGCCTTTCTATCCAATATGTAACTGGTAATTATATTTTTAAAAGGTTTTAATATTGAGTTGAATTAATAATGAATTAGTAAATAACCTAGTAGAGGGGAAAAAAACAGAATGGTTGGGGAGCCCCTCACTCATTGTAGTGAGAACTTACACACAAAATTGTTTAATATGAGAATCATTTGGCTAATCTTATCTCTGAACTATCTTATCTCTGACCATGCATTAGCCCTTGTACAAGACACTAAAATACTGTGCCAATAAAACAGAGTATATCCTTTCCACACACACATGTCAAAATAGATTGATAACCTCCAAGATATTTACAGAAACTCCGAGTGCAGATAGTATTGACCTGATACTGTTATCTCACACTTCATAAGCATGTGTTCACCTGTTCTGATCATCTAAAACTTGTCAAATGTTGGCAAGCCAATCTGGGGATTTCCAGGATGAAATCGAGACTGGGATATTCTTTCCCATAATGATTTGTTAAGTTAGTTATTCTCTGCTAGGTTTCATTGCCAATCTTCATTATGTTGTATCTAGTATTGTAAAACATATCTTTCTGTTTAAAAAATGTCAAAGCTGACTCAATAATTGCCTATTAAATGTAATACATTTCACCAAAATAAAAAACACCGAACACAAACAAACAAACAAAACAGTTGATCAGTTTAAAATTCCATGATAGAAGAAATGTCCCCAGTCTTTATTTTCCAATAGTGGGAGTTCTATATCATTAAAATGTGACTCGATTTCTTTTATGCTCCTGGAAATTGTAAGAGTGAGGCAATAGTTTCAAGAGGGATAATCAGTGTTACAACTAATTTTCTGGATAAATGGACTCATCTCCTGCTTTATGACCTGCAACTTGTTAAGGAGGATAGTGAGAAAGCCTATGGTGATGTTAAATTGGGCAGAAAAAGCACATCAGGTTGCTTGCTAGTGACTGGATTAAGCTCAATGGTGCCTGCAAACCTCCCATGTATTTCATTTAGATAGCATAATTGGTTTTGAAAATCATTAATAGTACTGCAGAATAATTGTAAGATATAAGCTGGCCATTGAGTTGTATTTAATTTTTGGCATTTTATGAACTTTAGGTTTTTATTACAATAATTTTAGTTGCCATATTTGGAGTTTTCTATTCTTCCCATGTATTATTTTTCTGTTTTTCTCTTAAAGAGATATGATATATTTAAATATTACTTAGATAATAACAACTGTTTTTCTACTCAAATGTCATATTTTTAAAAATCTGTGATTATGAATTTTGCTCATTCTTCTTAAAAGCTATTAGAAAAGCATAGAGGTCTTTTGAATGGGTTGACCAACTTGGTCAATAGCTTTTTAAATAGTTATGACCACAATATATGGTTCAGTGTGTCCTTATTCACCAATGCCAACTATGCTTCTGGATATTAATACCCTATTTTAACTAATTTAATTGTTGTTTAGGTATTATGTGTTTGTTTCATTTTTAAATTTACATCGAGATTGCTTGCTTTCAATACAATCTAAGTTTATTTTTTTAAATGATGCTTTTGGAAAACAGAAATGAAGGATAGGAGGGGGGAAAAGTTGATTCTGTGAATTAAGTTATTTGTTAATATTTTTCAAATTATGGTCAACTGTTATTGCACACTGCAGATGCTTTTAAGAAAGATAAAACTTAACCTAAGTGTCTCTCAATGAAAAGCTGAGAGATGATACTTCATTTTTTCCTCCCAATGACTTTTTCATTTCTTCGTTTGCCATGATTTATAACATCAGTCAATATATAGTAATAAAAGGTGAATACAGTAAAAAGTTGAGCAACTGTAATGTATACTCTGTACTTTACTAGAATACTATAATATAAACAGTTTTCACTTACTGGAATGAAATGAGCAATATTTATCAGGATAACTGCTTCCACTATGGTTTGTTTTTTGTTGTATTGCTTCTTTCCTCTTAGCTCCCTTTTTTCTTTTTTGTTTAATGTCTTTTTTTATTATTTCTTTGTTTTCCCTTTCTTGTATTGAGATAAAATTAGTTGGTTAACTTGAAGCACAGAATTATTTTCTATAAAAATACTCCTTATAATCTTAACAATTTATTTAATTCTAATAGATACTTCCATTTTTATCCAGCTTATTTGTTTATTCACATATGTAGTCCATCTTTGAAAGTCTTTTGGAAATGCAATTTTATTTATACCCATTGCTGACTGTCAGGAAGTTTGCAATATTTAAAAGAGCACACATGCTTCAGAGACCAGCTTTTCTGTAACTTATTTTTTATTTATATAGTTAAGAAATTAAAAAAAAACACTTTTAAGATCTTTTCCATGAAAACTGTTACATATTTCAGTATGTATATAGCATTTATTCATTCCTTTAGTGCAAGAAAAGGAAGCTATGACTCCAACTACAGTAAAATGTGAAAACACAAAATAATTTTATTTAATTTCATTTTGTGTTCAGATAAATTTGCAGCTGATATGCTCCATTGGCTCAATTTTGTAAAAGGTACTTTTCACACTGTGCTGAAATCCTGAATCTGTTGGTACTAGAAAGTTTTTTTTTCTCCTATATTCTGCCTTATTGGGTAACTCCAAACTCATTGAGGATAACGGCATAGTAAAACATGTTATCTGGATGCATACTTTGAAGATTTGGTTAAACATGCACATTTTATGGAAAAGTTTTAGAAAATTATGTGGTTGCCCAAGGCCACAGAGAGAGTTGGTGTAGGGGAAGACCTAGAATCCAGGTGTCTCGCTGCCCATTACAGCACTGCCCCACGGTGCCTGAGCCTTAGCGTTAAGTCTGCTGCACCAGCCAGAATGCACTTGATCTCCCTCTTTGATGACATTTCAAATGAGAAGCCATTTCATGGTTTTGTTTAAAGTAGTCTTCCTGGAGGTAGTGCAAGGACAACGCATTTGGTTTTGAGCAAAATGTCTCACAAATGCAAGTCCTGAAACTACATCCCAGGCAATGTGAGCACCCAGAAGTCAGAAGGAAATGATCGCTGCCTCAGGAATACACAGCAATGTAGATCATCTGATCCATCAAAATGATGAACAGTAGAAGTGAAAACAAGCTATCTAAGAACAAAAAACTGAAGATTTTATCATTACATTGTCTTACTGTCTTTGATTTTTTTTATTTAGGTATAATTGACCTATCACTATCACTGTCTTCCTTTATTTTCCCTTGGGTTTATACTTATAAAATTCACGTTTCAGTCAAATATTTGAATTTTAATATTGCTCTATTTTTAAATGGTCACATTATCTGCCAGGCCTTTGAAGAAACTACCAATAATGAGATTTTTTTAAAACCTGAAAATATAAATTTATCTTTGATATGTATAAATTTTTTTAAAGAAAACTTTGAAAAACAAGTTTTGTCATAATCATAAATTCTTTCTACAGCAACAGCTCTATATTGGCTCCATGGCGGGGGTTGCCCAGCTGCCTCTGCACCGGTGTGACATCTACGGGAAAGCCTGTGCGGAGTGCTGCCTCGCCCGAGACCCTTACTGTGCCTGGGATGGCTCCTCCTGCTCTCGCTATTTTCCTACTGCAAAGAGGTAGGAAAGATACTAGAAGTAAACAAAATGTTTGCTACTTATTATACCTGATTTCATTTTTGAAACGGCTTCCTTCATATAAGTAGACCAACTGTTTTCCATTAGTAAAAAGTGGTTTGGAGGTTGCTGTTTTTCCCCTTTTCCTTAGTCAAAACAATCAGAAAATGTATAATAGGATAGTTGGGTACAAATGTAATGGGATAAATGGTTTTAATTAATTACCGAGGGAAATCTAAAACATCACAATCATATCTTTGAATGTTTGTACTTGGAAATGATAAAGTTTTGCAACTTCATTTTACACAGGGGGAAATGTAGTGGTAAATCATCTTCAACTTAAATCTATCATATAATCAGTCCATATGGATAAAAGATAGTTCATAATATTAAGTGTCATTGTAGTATTAGCCTATTCCATTTCATAAATACAGTTTTCTTAAGCCTTTAACATTCAGCATTGAGATGATATGTTTAGATCATTTTCATATTCCTACTGATTTTGTTGGAAGTTAACATTTAAAACAAAAACTTACTGTGGAGATAATGTATTATTGATTAAAGAAACTGTGGATAATTTAAAAAATAACAATGTGCAGTTTTTACAGCAATCAAATTAAGTATTTGATTAAAATGTTATGGTTCCTGAAATCATTTAGCTTTATGGGGCTTTTAATGTTACCCAAAAATGTGAATTCATGTTTGAACTAAAATTGAGTATTATTTCCTTTCCATGTGAAAATGTATAATATTGCCTAATTTAGTAATAATCCATTCTAATTTTAAGCTAATTTTAATAAGAAGGATTAAAAAATCATAACTACAGCTCTGATATGTTAAAAAGCTGTGTGTTATAAATTTGAAATGTGTCTATTGCATTCCTACAATTCATGATCGAAGAAGTTATTATTAACACATTTTTGTTATGCCTAGCAGATTTTACTTAATCCAACTGCATGTTTCTTTGTAAAGGATGTTTAAAGACCTCACATTTATGCATTCCTTGTGATGGCATTTTTCAAAAGCTTAAAATGCAGTAAAAAAATGCCTTCCCAAGTGCTTTGTGGTTCGTGTTTCACAAGTTCTCTTGTTGGCTCAATTTTGAAATGTGCAACATCTGTTGATAGTCTCACCAATTCTACAAATAGGAATCTATAAATACTTTGGACTTCTAAATTTATGAATACAGTAACAAATTCTCAATGGCCTTTGTGAGAGCTCTTTTTAGGGATGGTAACTAACTTTTCAGAAAGACAATACCCATTAAAATAGATGCAGAAAACAGTTGGGCGAGTGTCCCCAATCTTTTCCGGTCTGTTACACATAGCCAGTCTCCACTTTTAGCCTCTTTCTGGAAGTATACGTCTTGTTTGCACTACAATTGCTAAAGCCAACCTCCTTCTTCCGGGCCAACCATTGGCTAAGTGCAGCTGGGACACCCAGAATGTACTGCAACTAACATGATCTGAGCAGTACAATGTAGGAGAAACTCATTTAGATTTTTATAGCAACTTTGACTTTTCTTTTAGAGGTGAGTTCATTGTCTTCTCTTCCGCCTTATTCTGACAAAAGAAGGCCTTGCTGATCAATATTTGTTGTTGCTTTTCTTCTTTTATTCACTTCACAGGTAAATCAGTTTGCAATCATAGCCCTATGGTCATAAAAGACATATTTTCTTTTAAAAAGGTTGATATAGCAACCATACAAGGAAATTAAAAACTAACTTAAAATTAGAATCCATAATCTTTATACTTTTAAACTTAACGGAACTCTATTAACATAACAAAGATATGTGTTAAGAGAAAGAGAACATTCATGTGAATTTTAATTTTCAAGCTTACTTCCTCATTAGTGATCAGAAAAAAATGTTTAATTCTGTTTATTGAAGAAATGGATTGCTATTCCATTTTTCGTGCTTTTTGCTCAGAATCAGAATTTAAGATGTTAAGAATTTAGGAGTTTCTAGATGTTAGGTCCTTATTGGATCACATCCAGTAGAAAAAAAAAATATTTGTTATCAATGACTGAAAGTCATTTAACACATTGTTAATAGATTTGTATACTGTTTCCCATTTTGATCAGCTTGGAAACTGCTTTTACAAGTACTTTAAAATATTTTAGTCATGGCTGCATCTCTTTCAGTAAACTCTTAAAGTCTTTGCTTTTTAATTCACCTTAATTCTTATGACACATTCCCAAGAGGGAAAAGAAATAAAATAATATATTTTAAATGAATTGTTTTAGACGCACAAGACGACAAGATATACGAAATGGGGACCCGCTAACTCACTGTTCAGACTTACAACACCATGGTAAGTTACAACATTTTTCATCTTTCAACCTGGTAACACTGGCGTAAAAGCACAAGAAATAAAGCATAGCTACACCCATGCAAGGCACACTCATCACGATTTTAAACCCTTATGAGACTTAAAGCTCAATATTCTCATATTAACAAAAGAAGCCAGTTTAAGTACATGACTTCATATATAGTTGCCATGTGAGACTAGAAGACAACAAAAATATTCATTTAAATATATCAAAGAAGAAAGTGTATTCTTAAAATGTCACTCCAAGTATTCATTAATATGCTGACGGCACCCAATATATTGTTATTGGATATCCTAGTCCAGTAGAAGATAATTCTGGTATTTTCACACTGACTTACTAATAGGATATTCTCCTGAACTGGGGATTTGGGACCAAGTTCATTTTATGCCTCCTAACAGATTTCAAGGCCTACTTCCTGTCTCGGTGCTTAGTTTATGCTGAAATAGCAACCAGTCTTCACGTAAAATGGAGTAAAATTGTAGAATATCTCACTTTCCTACTTCAACCCTTTACAAAAATAATAATGAAGCTGTGCTTCCCTCTGCTGGGGAAACGTATCAATGACATCACTGCTATGAAGAATTCATAGCTAAAATGAGAACATTTTACATGTAATTGAACATAATTATACTATTAACTTTTTTGGTGTCTTTTACATTAGGGAGGTCTAATATGTTTATCTGTTAATTTGGATTTGACCTACTAATTCTGCAAATAGAATATTCATGTTTCACTAATGTAACAAGAGAAAACACACTGCACAAGCAGCACACTAGCATCCCTAGCATGCATTCCAAAACCTAACTACTTTTCTGAAAATCAGATCCCTGTCGTGTGTCCTATATGCACTGGTATCTGGTTGATGAACATTCACAGGATTGTTTGGAGGATAGCAATACCAGGAAATAGTCATGAACTTAGCCTATATTGGGGGTCAATTTTTCTTGCAAAATTTTCTAACCAAGGATTTTCCTGTGTTATTGTTCTTATTATAAATAAAAAAAAGCCATTATATTGAGTAAATGTTATTGATTTTTGTCATTGTAAATATAGTGCATTATTAATCTACCCACTTAAATCTTTCAAATGGCATAATAGACAACAAAACATTCACTAGCCTTCTATTCATCTATTTTATGTAAAAATATTGAATTATGATAAGCACTATTGAAGCTATGCAGTCTTATGAAATATTAATTCATTGTATTAAATAATCTGCTTGCTTAGCTATAGAGAATTAATGATAACAAGTGGAAATAAAAGATATAAGATGATATAGCTAAAGCTCATTTTTTTATCAGACTTTAATCTCAATATTGGTATGTACCTTGCTATTTTTCTCATTCTTATATCTCTAGGGTTATAACAGATGCAATATCATGAATATCATGATAATAAATATCATGTAGATAAATATTTGTTGAATGAATAATCTAAATATTTCAAGTATAGCATAGATACTTATTGTTTTGGTTTACCAGTAGAGATTTGAACTAAATAATATCTATTGTGTTTTGTATAAGTGATTTGTCATACATTGTTTTTATTAAAATAATCATATACAGAAATAAAATATCTTAAGAAATGTCAATCAATTAACTAATAAATAATTTTTAAACTTCAGTATATGTAGGAAATTATGCTATATTTTGAACATTGCTACATATATTTATATTTCAGTGATAATCAATTTGTAATATAATATAAAAATCATTTTACAATTTTAATACAATACAGTTTGAATACAACATTTTAGAGATTAATCCATTTGTTTAGAAATCCAGTCCCTTCAGAGACCCAGTTAGGTTTTTCTTTAAACATTTTTATTAATTTCAGAGAGGAAGGGGGAGGAAGGAGAGAGAGATAGAAACATCAATGATGAGAGAGAATCATTAATTGGCTGCCTCCTGCACAGCCGCTACTGGGGATCAAGCCCGCAACATGGGCATGTGCCCTTGAGTGGAATCAAACACAGGGCCCTTCAGTCCACAGGCCTACGCTCTATCCACTGAACAAAATTGGCTAGGGCCCCAGTTAGTATTTTTTTAATTATATATTTGCTGAAATTATGAGTGTACATATGCAAGAAAAAGCTGACCAAAGACATATGTACTTTTTAAAAAGGGAAGCTGTGAATAAGTTAATGTTGTTGACTGTTGATTGATTAGACATTAGAGAGTGCTTCAGCTTTTAAAATTGTGCTCTGATGAAATTAGTTTGGTGGAAGCCTGTAAAAATTGCTGCTATAGAATTGCTTACCTACAGAAAGTAAAATGAATATGAATCAAGCTTTCTCCTGATTCTCCCATCGGAATGCACACCGTAAAGAGGGAAGAGAATCGCTGTGCTTCAGTGTTACACTGGTGTGTGGGTGTGTGTGGCGGGGTGGGGGTGGGGGGGTGAACAACTCTAAGGAGATGCTTGTGATATGTGGGAGGAAATGGTTAAATAGTCCAAGAAGTTCTGCAGCAATAAAACATCCCCTTTTTGAAGGCCTCTTATTTCCTTGTCTGCTTGTTTGATAATTGATAAAGCATAAAAATATATATATAGACACCCAAGATTATAGTAAATTTTAAATGTTTGGAAACTTAGTCAGGTATACCCATTTGGCCAGGCTGAGTCGCACCTTGGGAATCAGTGAATTGTCTTGAAATAGGTGTTATCAATACTTGAAAGTAAAATGGGCAAAAATCCAGAGCTCAACCCTATTAAGTCATGTATGTTGTCTTGCTAATGTCATATCCCGCATGGAATAAAATAGTCGTGCTCATATGGAAACATACAAAGGTATATTTTCACGGAAAGCTGCTAAGCAACTTGAAGCCAAATTATACACTTCAGGACAATCAGTTCCAGCTGTGATGGTAAACAGAGTTCATAACACTCTATATTTTACACATCCTGAGGTTTTAATAGAGAGACTATATAAAATAATTCAGAATTAAGTGGAAGAAATTTTCCTCTTGATGAAACCTTTAGCACTCACTCAGCGCTCTGCCCGCTCTGAGTAAAGGATACACTAATGGTGAGCTGGCCTAGGTGAAACAGATAATCCAGCTCTCCTTCCCCTCCACCCAGAAGGCTCTCTTTCATCACTAGTGGCCCTTCACCTAGGGAAATTTTAGTACAAAACCCTAAATATATCTGTGCTGGCAGATCCTCCTGTCTTCCCGCTTATACCTCATTCAGAATGCTAAAGACAAACCTCAGGTTTCTGCAATATGTTTCCTTCCATTGAATAACTGTTGCACACAAAATTGAAGCCGGTCTGAATTTGCATTCAAGAGCGTGAGAGGCTGAGTTAATTTACCTTTAAACTACCTCCCCTGCTCCTTTCCTTACCAAACAAGAATGAGTCAAACTGTAGTCTACAAATCCAGAGAAGAAAAAGCTGCACCATAAGTAGCAGTTTTTAAATTAACATCATCTTAGATTTTTTAATCTTGGAAATATTTGATATCCTAACTTTTAGTTTAACGCCATAATTGAATTTCACTTTGTAATAGTTCCCTTGACTGTTCTACATCCCCTTCTAGCGTCCCCATTGTAAAACATCCACAGAATTCAATCTTCTTAATTATCTCCACAACTAGCTCAATTTATGTCTTGGTTGGCATCAAAATTTCATAAAATATCTTTGGCCGTCTCATTTTCATAGTCTACAGAGTTGTGAATATAGTATTTTGTGGCAGTGCTAATCTGGTCTGTGCTTTGGCTTCTTTTATACATGTAGAAGCATCCAACTATGATTCTGAGCTTTTAGCTCCAAGAGAAGCAGGAAGATATGATAGGTGAGCATGATGTCAGTCCTAAAAAAAATCCCTAACTTCAATAAATTACCAAATTGTATCAAGTCTAAGATGTCACTGAATGTAAGATACAGCATTTTTTAGTATACTGCTAAAATAGAAAAACTGTCCAAGATGGACAATCTAATGGATGGTCCCAGTATCAAGCCAGGACACAATAAGTTTCAGTATGAGCATAAAGTAGAAATAAATTCCCATGAAGAAGAAGATACCAAGGATATTTTGTTGTTTCAACCACAATTATGGGTAGTGAAAAGGGGAAGAAATACTCCTTAACCACAAGGTGGTACACATGAAGGTTTACTTTCTGAATTCACCAACAGGGTGGACCAAAAATCTCAGACAAGACTTTAATTTAAAGAGGTATCAGGTTAGTAGGGTCTCATGTGTCTGGCAGAAGAACAAATTTTTTTCTGAAAGAAAACAAATTCAACTCAGATCAAGAGCAACTGTAAGATCATTCTGATATCAAAGATCTTAAGATATAAAGTGTGCACCAAAATGAACTTACTACAGTATTATCTTCTACTAGAGGCCCAATGCACAAAATTCATACAAGGGGCTTGGCCCTCACAGCCCCACCCCGGCTTTGTCTGGAAGGTCATTGGAAGGTCGTTTGGCTGTCTGGTCTAATTAGCATATTATGCTTTTGTTATTATAGATAACTTTTGTAAACGCTTTTTGAAACTATTTCCACTGGAGATAATTAATTATCACAATAATCATCTTCTGATAGTACCTTAGGCAAATAATTCAATTATTCATAGTATATGTGTGCAGAACATGCATATACAACCTGAATAAGAAGTTTGAAATAGTTAATGCTATCATTGTTCTTTATTAAACTTTTAAAATATGTCACCAGAGATCACCCAAATGTTTTTACGCCTATAATTTAACCATTGTAAACAGAAAACTTTTAAGCATGCTATATTTCTTAAGTTCCAAAACTTAAAAGGAAGGCATGTTAGAATGGAAGATGGTATTTTCATTATTGTTTATGGAAGGTTTATACTTCAGCAAGTGGGTATTTTCCATCATCTCCTATCATACCTCTTGGGAAAAAGTAAATGAAACATCAAAGTCTATGTCTTTAAATATAAACATTCCTGATAATTTTACTCTGACATACAAATTATGTATGTGCTGAAAATAAGACATATATTCAA